TTTGAAAGACCGAAAGCCTGTTTTCTGGCAAACGGAGTTGGAACTTGATGTGGCAGGTCGATCCAAACATGTGGATGATGGGGCTGATGATAAGGGTCTTGAGGTGGATGGTAATGAACTGAAAGAAATAAAGGATGTGTTGATAGAGGTACAAGATGGAATGTTGAAGATGAATAATACTATGGAAGAAGGTTTTGAAAAGATAAGCAATATGTTTGGTGGGTATGAAACAAGGCTCAAGGCTGTGGAATCGTTTGTGAACTCTCAGGGATGGAATGATAGGGATGATTTTGGTTTTGATGATTATCATCCTCGATCTAGGTTTTGGACTGATGGTAATTGCTCTGGTGGTGGTGGTGGANAGAAGGATCCATTAGAGAAGGATCCGAAGACTAGACTAGAGAAGGATCCATTTGATAAGGATCCAGAGAAGGATTCATCTGAGAAGGATCCGAATACTGGAGTGGAGAAGGAGACACAGGCAGAAGCTGAAGTGGAAAAGGAAGCTGAGAAATTGGAGAAGGAGCCAAAGGCAGCTAAAGTGGGGAAGGAGCCAGAGGCAGCTGAAGTGGAGGGGAGTGAAGTGGAGAAGGAGCCAAAGGCAGCTGAAGTAGGGAAGGAGCCAGAGGCAGAAAAACATGATGAAGTTGTTGGTGAGAAGAGGATTAAGAAGAAAGCAGCAGCACTATCCTTTCATGGAACCGAAGCCACCAAAGAGGAAGGAGAATAACTGATACTCATCCTCTCTATCTACTATATTTTGGTTTTTTAATGCAATTTGGTTTAAGGACTCCCTACTACTAATTCTTTTTATGGCAAACTGTGAACTTATGTTTGTACTACTGGTACTTTTAGGTAAAACTGTGAACTTATATTTGTACTACTGTACTTTTAGGTAAAACTGTGAACGTATGTTTGATTCGAAATGGATTAGTTTAATAGAAGAACGTATGTTTCATTCGAACGTATGTACAATCCAATAAAAATAAGCACAATAGAAGAACCAAACAAGTTTAACAAAACAATCCAAACTAGTTTAACAAAACAATACAAAACATACAAGTATAATAGAACCGAACAAGTACTCGTTCAACATAGCAATCCAAAACAAACAAGTAGAATAAAAAACTTTTTGTTGCCGTCTCCTTTTCATCTCTTTCAGCTCTTCAAATCCGTTTCCAAATTCGTCACCTTTCCTTGAAGATTGAAAGCCATCTCCTTTAGGTCATTGATTTCCTTGTCACTTCTTACAATTTTGGTTACCATCTCAATGAGTTTGTCTTTATGTTCCTTGTAAAGGTTGACCATCTCCTAAAGCTTTTCTTCTCTTCTTCAACAGTGGTGAGCAATTCAACTAGGCAACCTTCTATTTCTCCCAATTTGGTTTTTGTCAAAGTAATCTCCTCCAAGATTGCGTCATCCAACAATTTGTAAATGTGGCAATCTCCATCCTATGTAACAAGTACAATTAGATATGTAACAAACATTTAGCAAAATGATAAAAATAAGGAAATTTAGCAAAATGATATAAGTTCCTTACACGAATATCACCAGCACAAGAGTAGAATTTGGTCCCCGTCAATAACCTAATTGTTTGAGTCTTAAGCAGAGCTGGTTTTCTACAGTAACATATGGTCGGAATGCCAATAGGTGAGGGCTCCCATGTAACTGGAGTTGGAGCAAATCGAGTCGGAGTTATATCTGCCATATAATCATAAGTGGGGAGGACGATTTCGTCATCCGAATCTGATGAGTTGCTGTTGTTGGACCCAGTATCNAACTCGCCGAATATGTCCTCATGTTTCCAACGACCCATGNTTCTAGAATCGAAAATTTCTACAATAAAACTATAACCCAAAAAATATTGAAATGCGAAATGGAAGGTTGATTTACTTACCGTAATCGAAAATGGAAGCTATCGAAAATCCGAGTTTCGGTCGCCGTCACCGTTCACTAGAGATGATGAGGAACCCAGATGATGAACCCTAGATTTTAGGGGAAAATTCAGTTTACGGTTTTAATTAAAAACTGACACCTTACTTCTTTAAATATTTGAAAATTAAAAAAAAAATTTACAGTTTCTTTAGTCATGTGCGCCGTTATTAGGTCTAACCTAATCAAAGAATGCCACCTAATTATGACATGTGCGCAGCATTTAAAATATAGTTTTACCCCAACTTTTTAGTTGTGCATATTTGTTAATAGTTGTACTTTTGGTGATTTGCTAATATTTAGTTTTACCGTACTATTAAAAACAAATTTGTAGTTGTACAACTTATTTTTGGAAATCGAAACACATTTCTTTAGCTACCATGTCAATATATGTTGAATATCAAGGTATACAACACTATCAAACTATACTTTAAAGTGTAATGTGATCCACGAAAGATTGTGAAAATGGTATTGGAGAAATTGTTTGAATTTACTTATATTCGAAAAATTAAATTTTAGATACATAATTATTCTTATGTTTGAAATTAAATTTAATTCTTTCTATTTTTTTTAATTACTTAAAAATTTTAGATAAATAACATAATTATTCTTATGTTTAAAATTAAATTTAATTATATTTTTTTTAAATTACTTAAGAATTTGAGATAAATAACATATTTATTCTTACGTTTGAAATTAAACTTAATTATTTGTATTTTTTTAATTACTTAAAAATTT